GCCGCCTCCTCTGCCGCCGCCCGTGCCGCCGCCGGCCTGCCCCTCCCCCCCCTCCCCCTCCTCCTCGGGCCGAGCGGCGGGCGCGCGGCTGCCTACAGCCGAGATCTAGCCGCGATCTAGCCGCGAGATCTAGCCGCGAGATCTAGCCGAGAGATCTAGCCGAGATCTAAGCCGAGATCAGCGTCCGTTCGAGCCGAGCGTCGGCGGGACGGGCAGAAGTAGCCGAGATCTCGCTGAGATCTCGCCGAGATAGCCGAGATCTCGCCGAGATCTCGCCGAGATCTAGCCGAGATGCAGAGGGCGGGCGGCTGCCTGTGCGCGAGAGTCGGAGGCAGAACGAGCCTACGGAGTACCACACCTCCAGAGTACCGAACCCAGTGTGGGTTCAGTCCCGAGGGCGGTGCGGTAGCAGAGCGAGCCGTCGTCCCCGCCGCTGCCGACCAGCCAGACTGCCTCCCCGAGCGTGTGTTTGGTCAGCTGGCGCGAGGCGCGCAGGCAGACGTCGGTGAGCCTACCTCGGGGGCTGGCTCTGCTCCCGCACCACCCACGGGAGGGAACCCACACTGGGTTCGGTACTATGGAGGTATGGTATGTCGGCGAGCCTAGCGCCGGTCGGGAGTGTAGGCTGTGCCCTCGGGCACCTTGGGTGCTAGGGGGGCGACAGCGGGCGACGCGGCCCCGAGTGGCGCAGAGTGCCGGACGCTCACTCGGGGGTGTGTGGCAGTGTCAGCTGGCCGAGGTGCCGGTTGTGAGTGTGTGTGTTGTAGCGTGTGTCGCCGCCGTCTGTGAGAGGTGGGGCGGGGGTGGCGAGGAGAGAGGAGGTGGCAGAGGCGGAGGAGGGTGCGGGGTGGTCTGTGAGAGGTGGGGCGGGGTGGTCTGTGAGAGGTGGGGCGGGGGTGGCGAGGAGAGAGGAGGTGGCAGAGGCGGAGGAGGGTGCGGGGTGGTCTGTGAGAGGTGGGGCGGGGGTGGCGAGGAGAGAGGAGGTGGCAGAGGCGGAGGAGGGTGCGGGGTGGTCTGCGAGAGGTGGGGCGGGGGTGGCGAGGAGAGAGGAGGTGGCAGAGGCGGAGGAGGGTGCGGGGTGGTCTGTGAGAGGTGGGGCGGGGGTGGCGAGGAGAGAGGAGGTGGCAGAGGCGGAGGAGGGTGCGGGGTGGTCTGTGAGAGGTGGGGCGGGGGTGGCGAGGAGAGAGGAGGTGGCAGAGGCGGAGGAGGGTGCGGGGTGGCGAGGAGAGAGGAGGTGGCAGAGGCGGAGGAGGGTGCGGGGTGGTCTGTGAGAGGTGGGGCGGGGGTGGCGAGGAGAGAGGAGGTGGCAGAGGCGGAGGAGGGTGCGGGGTGGCGAGGAGAGAGGAGGTGGCAGAGGCGGAGGAGGGTGCGGGGTGGCGAGGAGAGAGGAGGTGGCAGAGGCGGAGGAGGGTGCGGGGTGGCGAGGAGAGAGGAGGTGGCAGAGGCGGAGGAGGGTGCGGGGTGGCCGTCTGGGTGCGAGGAGAGAGGAGGTGGCAGAGGCGGAGGAGGGTGCGGGGTGGCCGATAATAATAATAATAATAATAATAATAATAATAATAATTATTAATAATAATAATAATAATAATGGGTCGACTAGGTATGCGAGCCCGCGCGACGAGAGGGAGGCGGAGACGGCGCCGTTGGAGTGGCGCGAGAGGCGGCGCGACGCAGACAAGCCGGCGCTGATCGGAGAGCCTGCGTGTGCCATACCTCCATAGTGTCGAATCCAGTGTGGGTTCCGTCCCGTGGGTGGTGCGGGAGAGCCGTTCAGGCCGGACGCCGACGCGTGCAGGAAGGCGTGGTGGCCGAGCTGCCGCTTGAAGCCCAGCCGCAGCGTGCAGCCGCCCAGCCCGCCCTTGGTCAGCAGCTGGCAGCCGCAGGTGAGCGCGGTCCGCTGCGACAGCGCGAGCGCCATGTCCTCGCTCATCGAGACAGAGGAGATGTGGGGCCACAGCCGCTCGCCCAGTGGGAGGTCCGGGTCGGCAGGCGCGAGGAGGTCCGACGCGGACGCGCCGACGACGAGCGAGCCCGACATGCGCAGCTTGCCGTGGTACGCCTGCTCCGCCACGCGCCGCTTCTCGCGCTCGAACCGCGCGCGGAGCTTCGCCGCTGAGTCCACCTCTGCAGTGAGGAGCTGCTGGCCCTGCTCAAAGTCGCGCGGCCCGAGCTCATCGTACGCCATGCGCTTGCGCTCGTCGCTCAGCACGCCGTACGCGCGAGCGACGTGCAGGAAGCGCTCGCCGGCCTCGCGCTTGTCCTGCGGCGCCTGCCATCGGTCTGGGTGGTAGGCGAGGCTCAGGCGCCGAAAGGCACGCTTGAGCTCGTCCTCGGACGCCTCCTCAGCCACGCCGAGCACGCTGTAGAGGTCGGCGTGCGGGTCCATGCACACATGCGATACTGACGGCGCAGGGTTCCGGCTCCTACCCGGATAGGGGGCACTCTACGAAGTCAAGGCATACTATTACGAAAGTACTAGGTACTACTACGGTAGTGCGAGCTGCGACACGCACCCCCTCTCCGCTCTCGTAACAGCGCCGGACACACAACACGCGCAGCTCTATGAATTTACCTGCGCAGGAACAGATCCCAACTGTTCACAGTGGGCATGAGAGAGAGTCGCTCTAACGTTAGCTCGTCGAAGTACATGAACATGAAACGCCATGCCAAAAGCAGCGCAACTCCTGGAAGTCGGGAGCGCGTCCAACCCTTGCCGCTTGAGCCGGACTGCAAGTTGCTCGTCACCTCTACACCACCGGCTCCACCTCTAGCACCTGCTCCAGCTGCGAATCCTCCTCGGTAACGACTGGGTCGGACGTCGTCGAGCCGCGAGGCACGGTAGTGAAGCGCCCGATGTTCGAAAGCGAGTCGCGGATGCTCGAGCGCACCGGGGTTGCGCCCAGAGCCTTGGCCAGCAGCACGAGCGACACCTGTGAGACCGGGGGTGCAAAACAGTCGCTTCAGGAGCAGGCGGGCGCTGTGGCAAAGGTGCCGCCGGGGGAGCGCACCTCATGGTGCAGGCCGGGGAAGCAGGCAATGGCGAGGGCGTCGTAGAGCCCGCCGTTGATGAGCTCCTGCGGCGGCGGGGAAGGGGGGCATGGAGCAGGCGGGTGTGTCATAAACGATGGACCGCTGATGGGCAGCGTTCCTGCGGCGTGGTCTCAAAAAACTTGGCGAACTCACAGCCGCCGCGGTCGAGGTCGTTCTCGTGCGCCATGACGATCTTCAGCCTGTCCTGGCGCGCCTGCTTGACCTGCTCGGCCAGCCTCTCGTCGGACCAGGTGTCGGCGTTCAGATAGAGAAGCATGTGCGTGGCGTCGCCCGCCTCCTCGGCGGTGGAGACGGTGAGGCCGGAGAAATTGGTGGCGAGCTTGGTGGCCAGCTCGTCTGCGCCCTCATCGAACGGCGAGGCCCAGAGCACGACGGACTTGGAGAAGGAGATCGGCTGGCCCTGGACCTCGCCCGGGATGAAGAGCGGGAGGGAGGCCAGGTTCAGGTAGTGTGGCGAGCAGAGGAGGAGCGCCTGTGGGTAGGTGCGAGGGGGCGGCGGTCAAGGTCGAGGCGACGGCAGAACAGCTGCAGGGAGTTGTCCGTGGCGGCACCTCGGAGATGATCTTAAGCGAGACACGCTGATACTCGTCGATGCGGTGCCACGTCGTCTGCGCCCACCCACTGTCAAAGATCTCCGGCTGGAGGACCTCCGGGCACTGTGCTCGCAACTCCTGCAGTCGTGCAGCGACGGTGTGCGTGAGTGAGTGCTGGCGTGCGGCGGCGGCGGCGACACCGCCCCTCAGAGCCGTGTGTGGCGAGAGCAATCCCCGCAGGGTCAGAGCTGGGGGTGGGCGGGGAGCGCCTGCAGCGTCCCGCCGCCCTTGGCCGGGTCCGCCTCTTGCACGAGGACGAGCGGCTTGCTCTTCTCGAGCGACGTCTGAATCTCGCGCAGGCAGTTCTGCAGGCAAGGAGCGCACGAGTAGTCGTGGGCGACACAGCGAGGCACGGAAAGGGAGGGGCTGGGGGAGTGCCTTCGAGCGGAAGTAGCCCTTCGACAGGAAGAAGAGCATGACCTGCGTGCGGTCAACGTAATCCTCCAGCGACCCGATGTCCTTCAAATCGTCCACATCGAGGAAGATCTTGATGCCGGGGATCAAGAGCTTAAGCTCATTCTTGATGACCGCGACGGCGTCTTGGCCGGTGGACCTATTCGGGGAGTGGCGGGTCGTCTGGCGGGTTCCTACGCCGCGTCTCCCTCTGACCACAGGACTGACCAGATGTGCGAGAGGAAGAGGTGCCACGTGAGGCCGTCCACCAGAGCCAGCTCGGGGGGCTGCTTGGTTGAGACGAGGCGAATCGTGGGGACCTTGGCAAGGCGGCGGATGGCGATGATGGTACCCACGAGGAAGATCAGGAGCGCAGCCGCAGCAAGGACGAGCATCCAGTTCACCAGTCCATTCTCGGACCTGAAGCCGAGGACGGCGGAGGCCGACTGCCCCGGCTCGTCCCCGGGGAATCGCAACTCGATGTTGAGGAAGATGGTGGTCCAGCTGGCACCGAGGAAGAGGAGGAGGAGGACGAGGCTGGTGGCCTGCAGTGCGAGCCGCGTCCGTTGGGCTCAGAGTGACTGCAGTGGGAAGGGCGTGTGTGGGGTGGGTGATGGACTGGCCACGGCGATCCAAGCGTGTGCTTGAGAGCTGCAGCACAAGCAAGCGCAAAGGGCGTGTGGGATTGGGCGAAAGGCGCACCACGGCGAGGATGTTGTCCTCGAACCGCTTGTAGGGCTGGACCAGGGCGATCGCGACGGCGTAGCACGAACACACGAGCACCGCCACGACGAGACGAACAAAGGAGTCCTCCTCCTCGGCAACCAGCAGCACGAAGCCCGTCAGAAAGAGCTTGCGGGCCAGATCGGCCGCCTCCCACCAGTACCAGTTCCTTTTGTACTCCCGGTGAAGGAAGGCGGTGGCCTTCGTCAGCGCGTTCGGCGACTTGGCCTGCAGCGGCTTGTAGCATGCGAGAAGAAGGGCCGAGTAGAGGACTAGCGAACCGACCGGCCAGAGGACGACGAAGCCGGTGGCGAGTCTCGTGATGGAGTCGTGCTCGTCGGTGCCGCACTCGACGCTCGCGTCCTGCCGCATGTACTCGACCAGAGCGAGCGTCTCGCCCGGCGCAGAGGTGGTGTAGCCCTGCGCGCACATCGACACAAGCTAAGGGGGTTGGGGTTGGGGGGGCGGGGGCTTGTTTGTTTGTGGCTAGCACCTGGCACGACCACGCGCGCAAGACCGTGGCGCTCACAGACGGCACGAAGAGAAAGATGAGCACGAGACCCGCCGGCGTGAGGTCGAGGAGGCCGAGCGCCACCTCTGCAGGCCATGAAAAGACCGCCGCATCGTCAGTTTCGGCCAGCGCCGTCGGTGGTTCCGCAGCTGAAGACGATGGTGGCTCCTGCAGCTGTGCGTCGCCACCGAGAACGTTGCTTGTCGCGCCGTCGACCTCGGAGCCGCTCTCGCAGCCAGCCCCTCGCCGAGCACGCCGCCAGCGAGCACAGAGCCGCAAGACAATGCCAGCAAAGAGGAGCAGTGCGATGACGCCGATGGGAGAGATCGCGACGGCGACGAGCCGGGACGTGTGCGCCAGGCACTGCACCGGCAGCACGATGCCCGACCAGTCGATGAAGACGGCTTCGGCCAGCGCCTCCGTCCAGCCCGTGTACCGTTCCGGCAGCCGCGCCGAGTAGGTGGTGGAGAGGACGAGGCAGACCTGGTAGAAGCCAAACAAGATCTTGAACTTGGGGATGAGGCCGATTTTGTAAATCGCGTCACCGGTGCGGTCGGCGATGCGCAAGGGAAGTCCGATGAAGCGCTCCTTCCTCCACTCGGTTTGCCCGCGCTGAACTGAGTACGCCAACGCCACGAGGCCAAACGCGACGCAGAGGCCGAGGGCGATGCCCGCCATGTGCCCCGCCGCCGTGCCGACAGCGACGCACTTGTTGCAGGCGGCGCCGTCGGCGTCCAGGTAGTGGTTCGGCTCGCGGCAGAGCTGGCACTCGGGGCCGGCGAAGGCGTCTGCGCAGTAGTCCAAGCCGGCCTCCTGCGCCCTCCGACCGCTAGCCTCTCCCGGATCAACATTGCCGACACACCGCGCCTGGCCCGCCTGGCCATCCCCTCCAAAGGCGCGGCACTCTGTGAGCTCGGCGCTGGAGAAGCTGGCGCGCCAGAAGCCGGGCGGGATGCCGAGGGTCTCGAGGGTCGTGCCGACCGGGCACGCGGCGTCCGATGGGCATGGCTTGCAGTAGTCGGTCGGGGAGGAGAAGATGTCGGCCGGGTCGGCGCTCTGGAGCAGGTAGAAGTCCTTCTGGCAGACGGAGCAGATGACGGCGCCGCGCTCACTGCTGAGGGGGTAGGGGCAAGGGACGCACTGGCCCTGGCCGGGGTTGGCGGCGTAAGTGCCTGCGGCACACTCGCTGCAGGCGCTGCTGCCGACGCCAGAGGTGGTGCCGGGCTCACAGCGCTCGCACTTGGAGAGGCCAGGCGTGGCGGCAACGGAGCCCGGCGAGCACTCTGCCGGCGGCGCCGCGCCGCCGCCGCACGACGAGCCCGCCGGGCAATCGAAGCATTCGGGCAAACCGTCGCCGTCCGTGACGTTGGCGTATGTACCCGGCTCGCACGCCGCAGGCAGCTCGAGCGACGCGCCGACTGGACAGAAGCTGCCAAGCCCGCACGGGACGCAACCGGCAGCGCCGCTCGCGTTCTGGTAGGATCCGGCGGAGCAGCGCTCGCACTTGGCAAGGCCAGGCGTGGCGGCGACGGAGCCGGGCGAACACTCAGCCGGCGGCGCCGCACCGCCGCCGCACGACGATCCCGCCGGGCAAACAAAACAGTCGGGATCGCCGTCGGCGTCGATCGCGTTGGCGTATGTACCCGGCTCGCACGCCGCAGGCAGCTCGAGCGACGCGCCACGAGGACAGAGGCTGCCGGGCTTGCACCGGAGACACTCGGCGGCGCCCGTGTCGTTCTGGTAGGAGCCAGCAAAGCACCGCTCGCACTTGGAGAGGCCAGGCGTGGCGCCGAAATGACCGGGCTCACAGGGCTCGCACGTCTCGCTGCCCTCCGCCCCTGGCGCCGCGCTCGCCGTGCCGATGGGGCACAACTCGCACGCCGCGCTCGAGCTGGAGCCTCTGTTCGGGTTGAAGCTGCCCGCGGGGCAAGGCTGCCAGACAAGGCGCGAGGCGGCGCCCGCGTCCTCGCAGACGCCGCCCTTCGGGCAGGCTTCGCAGGCGGCGCTGCCCACGTCGGGGGAGAAGGAGCCCGCAGCACAAGGCAAGCACTCCTCCTGGCCGCTCTCTGGCTGGTATTGGCCGGGGGCGCAGAGGAAGCAGTCCGAAATGTTCGCCGCCCGCCTGTTGGGCATGTGGGTGCCGGCGGGGCACTTCTGTGGGAGGACCGATCCCTTCGGGCAGAAATGGCCGGGCCAGCAGGGGCCGCTGCAGTCGGAGGTAGAGTGGTCGGGCGCGTGCCCGTAGTGACCCTCCGCGCAGAGCCTGTTGCAGCCGGACAGGTCGCCAAAGAGCTGGCCGACGTTCGGCATCCAGTAGCCGAGCGGGCAGTCCCACGTTAGAGGCGAGGCGGCGAGGATGGTGATGTCTCCTGGCGCAGAGTTGCCGGAGAAGGTCGTGTTGCGGAGGAGCGAATCGGTGGCACCGACGCTGGAGGCGAAGAAGAGTGCAGCGGGGGATGCCTCCGCCATGTTGTCGACAAACTGCGAGTTGGTGAGAGCTAGGCGCTCGATGCCATTGAGATAAAGAGCCTACAAAAGAGCACAGTCTGGTCGCCTCCCGCTTCAGTCTGTGCACCCTCTTGTGGAGGGGGCGCGCGGCACCGCTTGTGAGCCACTCGTGCACTCGACAAAGCTGGCGCTCTCCAGCGAGACGTCGCCGCTGTTCTCCACGCGCATACCTCCTCCGGACTGCGCGAGTTGGGGCGGGCAGGCATTAAGGCGTCAGGGAGCGAGAGAGTGCGGGCAAGGCCCAGAGCGGCCCTTTGGGGAAAGCGTGCCCCTTCTCCACCCCCATGCCCCTCTGCCTTCTTCTGCCGCTACCGGCGCGGCGATGGCGTGCGAGCGTGTGTGTACGGGGGAGGCAAGCGCGTGTGCGGGCGTGGGAGACGCACCCAGCCAGCCGTGCACTCGCTGAAGCTGGCGCCATCCAGCGAGAGGTCGCCGCTGCTCCACACGGACATACCTCCTCCCCACTGCGCGAGTTGGGGCGGGCAGGCATTAAGCGGGGAGGGCGTCAGCGAGCGAGAGAGGGCGGGCAAGCCCAGAGCGGCCCTTTGGGGAAAGCGGGTCCTGCCACCCCAATGTCCCTCTGCCTTCTTCTGCCGCTTCCGGCGCGGCGATGGCGTGCGAGCGTGTGTGCGCGGGGGAGGCGAGCGTGTGCGGGGGGGCGTGGACCTCGGCAGCCGTGCACTCGCTGAAGCTTGCCCTCTCCAGCGAGACGTCGCCGCTGCGAATCACGTGCATACCTCCTCCGTGCTGCGCGAGTTGGGGCGGGAAGGCATAAGCGGCGAGGGAGCAAGAGAGGGCGGGCAAGCCCAGAGCGGCCCTTTGGGGAAAGCGGGTCCTGCCACCCCATTGTCCCTCTGCCTTCTTCTCCCGCTTCCGGCGCGGCGATGGCATGCGAGCGTGTGTGCGCGGGGGAGGCAAGCGTGTGCGGGCGTGGGAGACGCACCCAGGCAGCCGTGCACTCGCTGAAGCTGGCGCCATCCAGCGAGACGCCACCGCTGTTCTCCACGTACACACCTCCTCCGTGCTGCGCGAGTTGGGGCGGGAAGGCATAAGCGGCGAGGGCGTCAGGGAGCAAGAGAGGGCGGGCAAGCCCAGAGCGGCCCTTTGGGGAAAGCGGGTCCTGCCACCCCATTGTCCCTCTGCCTTCTTCTCCCGCTTCCGGCGCGGCGATGGCGTGCGAGCGTGCGTGTGCGGGGCAGGCAAGCGTGTGCGGGCGTGGGAGACGCACCACGCCAGCCGTGCACTCGCTGAAGCTGGCCCTCTCCAGCGAGACGTCGCCGCTGTTCTTCACGAGCATACCTCCTCCCCACTGCGCAAGTTGGGTGCGGGCAGGCGTAAGCCGCTTCCGGCGCGGCGATGGCGTGCGAGCGTGCGTGTGCGGGGGAGGCAAGCGCGTGCGGGCGTGGGAGACGCACATCAGCCGTGCACTTGCTGAAGCTGGCGCCTTCCAGCGAGACGTCGCCGCTGTTCTGGTACACGAACATACCTCCTCCTTTCTGCGCGAGTTGGGGCGCGCAGGCGAGGGCGTCAGAGAGCGAGAGAGGGCGGGCAGGCCCAGAGCAACCCTTTGGGGAACGCGTGCCCCCCTTTGCCTTCGCCTCCCGCTTCCGGCTGCGGCGATGGCGTGCGAGCGTGCGTGTGCGGGGGAGGCAAGCGTGCGTGTGGGAGACGCACCTCGCCAGCCGTGCACTCGCTGAAGCTGGCGCCATCCAGCGAGACGTCGCCGCTGCTCTCCACGCTCATACCTCCTCCGTACTGCGCGAGTTGGGGCGCGCAGGCATTAAGCGGGGAGGGCGTCAGCGAGCGAGAGAGGGTGGGCAAGCCCAGAGCGGCCCTTTGGGGAAAGCGGGTCCTGCCACCCCATTGTCCCTCTGCATTCTTCTGCCGCTTCCGGCGCGGTGATGGCGTGCGAGCGTGTGTGCGCGGGGGAGGCAAGCGTGTGCGGGCGTGGGAGACGCACATTGCCAGCCGTGCACTCGCTGAAGCTGGCGCCATCCAGCGAGACGTCGCCGCTGCCGTACACGAGCATACCTCCTCCGAACTGCGCGAGTTGGGGCGATCAGGCATAACCGGCGAGGGCGTCAGGGAGCAAGAGAGGGCGGGCAAGCCCAGAGCGGCCCTTTGGCGAAAGCGGGTCCTGCCACCCCATTGTCCCTCTCCCTTCTTCTCCCGCTTCCGGCGCGGCGATGGCGTGCGAGCGTGCGTGTGCGGGGGAAGCGAGCGTGTGCGGGCGTGGGAGACGCACCTCGCCAGCCGTGCACTCGCTGAAGCTGGCGCCTTCCAGCGAGACGTCGCCGCTGCTCCCCACGTACATACCTCCTCCGTACTGCGCGAGTTGGGGCGCGCAGGCATTAAGCGGCGAAGGCGTCAGCGAGCGAGAGAGGGCGGGCAAGCCCAGAGCGGCCCTTTGGGGAAAGCGGGTCCTGCCACCCCACTGTCCCTCTGCCTTCTTCTGCCGCTTCCGGCGCGGCGATGGCGTGCGAGCGTGTGTGTACGGGGGGGCAAGCGTGTGCGGGCGTGGGAGACGCACATTGTCAGCCGTGCACTCGCTGAAGCTGGCGCCTTCCAGCGAGACGTCGCCGCTGCTAGGCCCGACCAGCTAGCGCCGTCCCAGCCGTCGCCGTATGAGTCCTTCATGACGAGCTCGCACTCGACGCCAGGCGAGAGGGAGACGCCGTACTCGGCCTGGAAAGGCTCTCCGCTCGCGTAGGGCGCCGACGAGAGGACGACCGTACCGCCGCACCAGAGGTCCCAGCTCACCTCGCTAGGGTACGATCCCGGCGTCGTGGTGACGGTGTAGTATGCGAGCGGGTACGAGGGCGGAGACGGAGGCGGCAGCGGCGGCGGCAGCGGTCGGGGCGGCGAGAGTGGCAGCAGCGGCAGCTGCGGCGGTGACGGTGGCGGGGAGGGCGGCGCAAACGGCACCACAAAAAAAAATTAAATATTCTTAGCTTCGCCCTTGCCTCCGACGCTAGAGACAGTCACCACGGATACATACGTCCGTGGGAGTGCCCCCCTCCCCCACCTGCCCTGCTTACACAGGATAGCATGCCCCGAGAACGGCGGCATTTGGCGGGGGTAACCTGGGAAGGAGGTTTGGTTGTGCTTTCTTTTTCGCTCTCGAGGGAATGTTCTCTCGACGCCACTGGCCTTCTGAGGTTTCGTACTGGTGACGTCCTTCTTGGCACTTCGGGCGTCGGTGTGTGTGGTGAATTCCCTCGGTTTTATGTGTTTATTATTTTTGGCTATATCATCGGACGTTGAGTGGGCACCATCTCCAGTCCATCATCTACGATGCCAACCCGAGCCGTCCGCCGCTCGAGGATCGAGTGGCCTCTGGATCGAATCGGCACCTTGACCCTTATAATTTTTTTTTCACATCTTGAGCGGGCCCAATTTTGCTCAGATGCACCTCCGAATTCGAACTCACGTCATCACGCTTAGCGCTTGGTGTGTGTCCGTTTTTCGTCACGGGTTAGCAAACGGCACCACAAAAGACTTCCGCTCCTCGGACCCAGAGGCAACGGTGAGGCCCTCTTGCCCGAGGCCCGACCAGCTAGCGCCGTCCCAGCCGTCGCCGTATGAGTCCTTCATGACGAGCTCGCACTCGACGCCAGGCGAGAGGGAGACGCCGTACTCGGCCTGGAAAGGCTCTCCGCTCGCGTAGGGCGCCGACGAGAGGACGACCGTACCGCCGCACCAGAGGTCCCAGCTCACCTCGCTAGGGTACGATCCCGGCGTCGTGGTGACGGTGTAGTATGCGAGCGGGTACGAGGGCGGAGACGGAGGCGGCAGCGGCGGCGGCAGCGGTCGGGGCGGCGAGAGTGGCAGCAGCGGCAGCTGCGGCGGTGACGGCGGCGGGGAGGGCGGCGGCGTGTACGGCGGCAATGATTGCGCCACGCAAACTCCGTCGGCAGAGTTCCACGCACACTCGCCGTTGCACCAAGCTGAGCCCGCCCACCATTCTTGCGCCGTCTCGTCGGGCGCCCACGGACAATTCTCGCAGACGGAGGCAAAATGGCCACCGCACGACACAGCGGACGGCGGCGGGGAGGGCGGCGCAAACGGCACCACAAAAGACTTCCGCTCCTCGGACCCAGAGGCAACGGTGAGGCCCTCTTGCCCGAGGCCCGACCAGCTAGCGCCGTCCCAGCCGTCGCCGTACGAGTCCTTCATGACGAGCTCGCACTCGACGCCGGGCGAGAGGGAGACGCCGTACTCGGCCTGGAAAGGCTCTCCGCTCGCGTAGGGCGCCGACGAGAGGACGACCGTACCGCCGCTCCAGAGGTCCCAGCTCACCTCGCTAGGGTACGATCCCGGCGTCGTGGTGACGGTGTAGTATGCGAGCGGGTACGAGGGCGGAGATGGAGGTGGCAGAGGCGGAGATGCTGGCAGAGACGGCGAGGCCGGCGGAGCTGGCGGAGGCGACGGAGGAAACAATGGCGACGGCGGAGGATCCGTAGGAGTGGCAGCCACTTTGCCGACGACTAGCGCTGCGGCGCCCATGCGGACGGCGGCGTCGAACGCCTTCTTGCGCGAGACGAGCAGCACGGAGGCCCCAGCGAGGCCAGCCTCAACAAGCTTCCGCGCCTTGCTTCCGGGCTTCCCAGCGTCGGCGGGCCGCAACTTGGGCGACGTGTCGTTCACGGGCAGGACGGTGTCGCGCCCCCGAGCGATGATCCCCGTCCTGTTGCTGTAGACGGGACCGACAAAGTCGATCTCGGGCTCGCCCTTGCGCTCCGTGCTGTTGCGCGAGGCTAGGACGGTCTCCAAGTCGGCCTCGCCCTACACGCAAACACACAGGCAATACGTCAGAGGGCGACACAGGCTCCCTCGCACACAGAACCAGCCAGAGGGGCGCTCACCGGCTGCTTCTCGTAAACGTCCTCGATGATGGACGCCGGCGGCTCGCCAATCAGGTGCAACGGCTCGCCCACCGCCTCTTTGACGTCGTCCATCAGTGCTTCCAACAAGCGCCCCTCCTCGTGCCCGCCCTCAACAGCGCGCGGGCTGTTGGTCACGAGCTGGCGCGGTGCGGGCACGCTGTCCGAAGAGGCGATGGCTGCAAACGAGCTGGTGTCGTCGCCGCCAATCTCGCAGACGCCGTTGAGCGATGCCGGCGTGATCGGCGTCGTGACTGCGGGAAAGGAAGTCGGGGACTCGTGCCACTGCGAGGAGAGAAGCGCGGAGGTGGCAGAGTACGAGGAGAGCGCAAACGCGGTTCCGAGGCAGAGCAGCGCGAGGATGCCAAAGAGGCGGAGCAAGTAAGTCGGGCAGAACTTGGGCCAAGAGAACCAGCCGGAGGCAGAGACGGAGCCCTCCGGCGTGGTAATCGTGGTCGTCTCGACGTTGGCCGTCGCGCCCTGAACAGGAGGGCGCGAGACTGGCGGTTGAGCGGCGAGCGGGGGAGGAGGCTACATGTATGCAGGCGGCGAGCACCGAGTCTGTGGTCGGCGGCGTGGAGCCGCCGGTCACCTTGCCGGTGCCACCGAGGATGCCCTCGTTGCCGTCCGTTCCGAGCAGGGCCCCGAACCGGTTGTTGCCGCCGACCGGGGCGATGCTCTTGGTGCGGACGATCGGGGCGGACGCGCCCTTGCGCCCCTTCTTGCGGCGCGGGTTCGACGGGGTGGTCCAGTCGGAGATGCCCTGCGCACGCGCAAGCGGTGGGCGTGTCAATAGTTGAGGCTCTGCGTTGCACCGCAGCGTGCGAGGCGCTCACCGCCGGGGCGGGCTTCTCCGCTGGCGGAGACTCCTTGGCCGAGACGGTCCAGTCGGCGTCGCCCTACGCATCAATGAAAGCGGGGTGGGTCAAGGGGTGGGTCGGCAAACGCACGGCGCAGAATGCAAGGCGCTCGCCGCCGGCGCGGGCGTCTCCTCCGGAACCTCCTCGATCGACGGCAGCGGCGCGCCGCCGGTCGCCACCGGCGTGAGGGCCGGGGCGTTTGTGGTGACGCCGTTGGGGGCCGTTGGTGGGTCGGTCGGGGTGGTGCTCTTGGAGCAGTCGACCAGGTTGGGCTTGCCCAACCCGTTGGGGTCGACGCGGCCGATCGGGGTGGGGTTCTTGGTGGTCTTCTTGGAGCGGTCGATCAGGTTGGGCTCGCCCTTGCGCTCGATCTTGCGGAGCGGGGAGGCGGTCTTCCACCCGTCGATGACCTGCGCGCGCGTGCCGTGCGGCAGACGAGAGGTCACAGGATCAATGCAAGTGCCCGCCTGCATGACTCGCGTGTCCCCGCATACCCGCGTGTGCTTCTGCTGGGGGGTGCTCACCGCCGGGGCGGCCGTCTCCTCTGGAAACTCCTTGGTCGAGACGTTCCAGTCGGCGTCGACCTACGCGTCGAACGCGGGATGGGGTCACAGAGTGGGTTGGCAGACGCCGGCGCGCAAGATTGCCAGGCGCTCGCCGCCGGGGCGGGCTCCTCCTCCGGAGGCTCCTTGACCGACGGCAGCGCCTCGCCGCAAACCGCCGCCTTCTTGAGAGCCGTGTCGATCTTGATGACCGGCTTGAGCGCCGGGTCGTTCTTGATGACGCCGGTCTCGTCAACGGAGGCCTCCGCGCCAGACTTTGCCGCAGCCTTCTTGAGGGCGCCCACGACGGTCGGGCGCTCAAACTTGGACCAGAAAACGGCGGGCGCGTGGGCGGCGAACATGGCCTTGGCCTTGTCCGAGTCGAACGCGCCCGCGTCGGGCGCCTTTTCCGCGGCCGGGTCCTTCTTGAGGTCCTCCGTGGCAGACTTTGCGACGGTGATGTTGACGTTGTTGACGCCGCACGCCTGTGGCGAGGGAGAGAACACGCAGGCTTTCAGAGACCGGAGGGGGGTGATCACGATCCTGGCGAGCGCACGCGCACCTTGGCTCCGAGGAGCGAAGGCGACTCCGACGCGGAGATGACGAGCGTGATGCGGCCGTCGTCAGCCGGCACGATTCCGACCTTCGCGAAGGACTTCATCGGCGAAGACTCGCCCTCGACGTCGTCCTCCTTCACGACGTCGTCCTTGACGCCGCACGCCTGTGGGCGAGAGCGCATACGCAGGTGTTCGGAGACGGGAGAGAGAATTGTTACCGGTGGGTGGGAAGCGATGAGTGCCAGGAGAGAATGCTGCGGCGCGCTCACCGTTGGGTCGGGCGTGTTGGAAACGGTCTTGGCCGGCTTCACGACCTCCTTGGCAACCTCCTCGGCGACGGGCGCCTCGGCGACGGGCGCCTCGGCGATGGTGGCCTCCTCGGCGACTGCCTCCGCGGCGGCGGACACCTTGGCGGCGGCGGACTTGGAGGCGGCCTCCACGGTGGCGGACTCCTCGGCGACGACGGCCACCTCAGTGACGGACTCCTCGGCCGCGGACTCCTCGGTGGCTGCCTCCTCGGACTCCTCCTCGGTGGCGGACTTGGCGGCGGCCTCCTCGGTGGTCGCCTTCTTGGCGGCGGCCTCCTCGGTGGTCGCCTTCTTGGTGGCGGCCTCCTCGGCGGTCGCCTCCGCGGTGGCCGACTCGGCGTCCTCCTCGGCGGCGGCGGACTTGGCGGCGGACTCCTCGGCGGCGGCGGACTTGATGCCGCACGCCTGGGTGAGGGGAGAACACGCAAGTGTGCGGAGACAGGGAGACCGTAGAGGGATGATGACAATCCTGGCGTGCGCACACTCACCTCGGCTCCGAGGAGCGAAGGCGACAGCGACGTGATGCCGACAGGAGCCGTCGGCGCCGACTCGGACGGGACGTCCGTCCTCGAGCGAAGCGGGCTCGCCCTCGGACGGGATGACGTCCTCGAGCGAAGCGGGCTTGCCCTCGGACGGGATGACGCCTCGAGCGAAGCGGGCTTGCCCTCGGACGGGATGACGTCCTCGAGCGAAGCGGGCTTGCCCTCGGACGGGATGACGACCTCGAGCGAAGCGGGCTTGCCCTCGGACGGGATGCCGGCGGCCTCGCCTCCGGCAGCGTTGACGGTCGTGTTGCCCGCCAGCGACGCCTGTGTCAGAAGGCCAGAGGATACGTCTTGCAGGTGGGAGCGCATTGTCACGTGCGCGCAAGCACACGCCTGCTTGTCAGCAAGCGGCGGCGGCGGAGGAGAGAGCTTGAGCACGAGCTTGTCACCGGCGGCCGGCACGAGCTCGAGTTTGAGCTTGTCGAGCATGTTGATCGAGTTCCTGCATCGCGCGGGCGTATGCACGCCAAAGAGTCAATAGATGCAGCTCATGGAGAAGGCTGTGTGACGGGTTCATGTGAAGGCTGTGTGAAGGACAACGTGTGGAAGTAAAGTGCTACTGGTTGGAGTTACTGGAGACTGTGCAGAGCACCACTATTATTACTGAGGTCACTGGAGACTGTGCAGAGCACTCCTATTATGACTGGGGACTGGAGACAGTGCAGAGCCACTAGACTGTGCAGAGCACCATTATTATTACTGATTACTGGAGACTGTGCAGAGCACTCCTATTATGACTGAGGACTGGAGCCTGTGCAGAGCACCATTATTCTTACTGGAGACTGTGCAGAGCACTACTATTATAACTGGGGACTGGAGACTTGTGCGGAACACTCGGCGAACGGAGAGGTCAGCACCTACGGGATCATGACCATGTGAAAGAGGGTCAAAAACTGCTATGGAGATGTCCAGGGGGTATATGGGGTATATGGGCGTATATGGGCGTATAGGGGTATATATGGGGAGGAAGGAGAATATCTCGAGGAATCTCCGAGAATTGGATCAATCGTCGCAGTCTCCACCCCGCCGCCCCCCCTCCCCCAGCCCCCCACCACCACCACCACGCCCTCCCCTCCCCTTCGAGCCTCGCCTACACAGACCTAAAGAAATCGACCGCGCGACGTGCGGTGGTTTCTAATGAAGGCAGAGGCGATGTTCAAAGAGAGAGAGGGGGGGGGGGGTCGAGCCAGGTCACTCCCCCCCCCAGTCACTCCCCCCCCCCCCACCCTCCCCTCCCCTTCCCCTTCCCTCGCCTACACAGACAAAAAGAAATCGACCGCCCGACGCGTGGTGGTTTGTGAAGGCAGAGGCCGTGCTCAAAGAGAGAGAGAGAGAGTGTCGAGCCAGGTCACTGCCACACCTACGGGCAGCACGCCTCGGCGTTAGCATCGCGACGACCGGCACACTCTCTCGTGTCCTCGGCGCTAGGACTGGAACCGGGCAGCGATTGGCAAGCGAGCGGGCTGCGTCGCTCTCTCGCCGGAAAAGAGTGGGGGCAATCGGGCGGGTTCGCTCGGTGTAAGGGTGGGAAACGAGCGGCAGCGGCCGCGTCTCGCGGCTCCCCGATGGCAGCAGCCTCACCTGCGAACGGGAGGTGGCAGGAATTGTGAGGCCGAGGGGGGCGTAGCCGCTCGGGCGCCAAATCGAAGCGCATCGCATGGTGGGAGCGGAGAGGGAGCGGCGGGTTGCGTGAGCAGGAGGCGTCGCGCCGCTCGGGCGTGCAGCTCCCCGCGGCCATATGTGCGTCGACGCGGCGGGGCAAGCGCGAGCGGAACGGGAAAGGCGAGGGTTGGACCTTGTGAGCCCCACGTCGAGGGGAACGTGGGGATCTGTCAGGATCGAGTAGTTCCGGGAGGTTTCTCATATGGCGAAGTACACAGAGAAGCCAGCCGAACGCCCCGCCTCGATCAAAAGGAGCGCCTTCGGCACTACTCTCTCGAGGTCTCGCGGATCTGGGTGCTGAGATTTGTTTGGATGCAACCTTCGCTGCGGGACTAGTTTACCTCGGCTTCTCCACATGACCCAAGCATCTGCACCGTGAGGTGTGATACATTGGCGCGTAAAGGGTCAGTCTGGAGTCGAGAGAGAGAGAGAGATTTTTAGCAATACCAAACAACTCTAACACTCACGTTGTTCTGGAGTCGCGTGCCTCCACAACGGAAGAGCTACGCAGTACCTGCCTGACATCCCCTGGGGTCTTGCCACTAAAGGACGACCCCGGCTAGTCGCCGACCACACCCACAAAGAACCCTGCACAAAGATCGCAAGGGGGACCTGTTCCTTTTTACCCATCTCACAGTAGAGAGGTGTCCGTTTTTATTTATTTATTTATTCTCGCCTTCACCGTTCACGGAATCGGTCCCTCGTTTTGTGAGCACTCGGTCTCGGAGCGTCTCCTCTCGCGGCTTGCGAGCGGATCGCATACAGTACGGAATCGGAAACCCCCCCCACTGATGGCCGTTTTACAAACCAACCATGCGCGTTGCTGGTCCTGAAACACACTTTCTCTCTCTACGACTCCTCCCCGATCACGTCGTCCCCCTCCTCGGCGCGTGGCACCGCCGCTCCGGCCGCCGCCGCCTCGTCGCCGTCCTCCTCATTGCTCTGCACAAAGTTCTCTCCGAGCACGGGCGCCGCGCCCGCCTCCACCCGCAGTCCGCGCCCCGCGTTCCGCTCGATCACGTTGCGCAGCAGCTTCCCCCTCGCGCCGGCGGCGAGGTGCACGCCTCCGCTCCGGTTGTCGCGGATCCCATTCTTCTCGAGCAGCGGGTGGGCGCCGTCGCCGACCGCCACGCCCGCGCCTCCGTTGGCGTGGATCTCGTTCTCGACGAGGAGGCACGGCCCTCCCGCGCCGCTCACCTCCACGCCCGCGCCGCCGTTGCCCGCGATGTGGTTGGCGCGGAGCTGCGCGGTCGCGCCGGCGAGCAGCCGCACGCCGCAGCCGTTCGCCTGTTCACGCGCCGCAGGTGTGTGAGCGGCGTCTCTTCACGGCCGCACGCCGCGGCCGTTCGCCTCGATGGTGTTGGCCGAGAAGTGGCCGCCGCCGCCCTCCTCGACGAGCAGCCCGTGCCGGCTCGCCTTGAGCCTGTTGCCGCGCAGGTCCGGCTCCGACGCGGCGCCCACCGCCACGCCCGCGCCGCCGTGCCCGCTCACCACGTTGTTTTGCAGCCGGCCCTTGCCGCCGGCGCGCACGCGGACGCCGCTGCCCCCGCAATCGGCCACGGTGTTGCCGACCACGTCTGGGTCCGCCCCGTGCGCGATGACGAGCCCGTCGCCGGCAGCGCCGCGGATGGAGTTCTCCTACCGGACGACACGTCTCGGACGTGTCGTGGACGTGCGTCGTGGACATGTCGCCGGCAGCGCCGCGGACGGAGGTCTCCTTGACGAACCCCTTGGCGTGGTCAGTGAGGAGGACGGAGCAGGGGCCGCCGCCGCCGCTGATGGCGTTGAGGCGGAGCGTGACGGTCGTCGCGCCTAATCTCGGCCAATCTCGGCTCATCTCGGGCGTATCTCGATTGCGGGGCGGGGGAGCGCCGCGGTGTCGCGCCGGACGCGCCGGTGAGAGAGGGGGGGGGAGGCGGAGAAGCGAGGTACGGAAGTGCCTCGAAGAGGCCCGCTGGCCATGATC